ATCACTTAGATCCAAAACGTAAGATTCATTCATTTAGGTCCCAAATGAGCACCTTTCTTCTTGCAATTCAGCCCCTCAACTTTCAAAAGATGTTCAATTAATCTTAAAAACTCTTACTATTATACATTGACAGTTCAAAATAAGGAAAAACTAGGAAACACTACTAAAATTCTCACCTTCAACAACATGGAATCATGTTGTTGCTAAAAGTGGACCTCATTTTAGGTGGGAAATAGTTAGTGTGTGGTGACCGGAAAATGTTAGCAACAAGGGGCATGTTGCTGAAATTCACTTTCAGCAACATACCCATTGTTGCTAAAAGTGGAAGTGGTGATGCTCATCCCGGTGGTTGGAGATGGTGTATATATATATATATATTATAGTTTTTGCCAACCACCGGTCAAAGAATATTAGCAACATGCTCCTTATTGCTGATGTTTGGTTCGTAAAAAGATAGGAATAATAGCAACAAGGTATATGTTGCTAACACTTAAGGTTTTCAGCAACATGTTCCTTGTTGTTGAAAAGTGGAGCTCAATTAAATTCCCAAGGATTCACCGGAAAATATCAGCAAGATGAAGTATGTTGCTGAAAGTGGAGCAGCTTTTTCAAGGTGAGGTGTACCAGAGAACTTTTAGCAACATAAAGCTTGTTGCTGATACATATTTTCAGCAACAAACAATCTCATGTTGTTGATATATTATTGCTAAAAGCCAAAATTTTAGTAGTGTGTTAGCATCCATTAGCATTCCATTAATAAAATTAACAAATTAAATTAAATTTAAACTTCATGTTTTCTATAACGGAATGCTAACGGATGTTAATAGTCAATTAACATAACTAATAAAATGTTATAATCTGATGTTAAGTAATTACTATTTTCTTCAATTTGTATAGATGAGGGGTTAAAAATGCCATAATATAAGGTGAGAGGTTAAAACCTATCAATTTTGTAAGATAATTGACTAAAACCTACCAACTTTATAAAGTAAAAAGTTAAAAAGTTAAAAGTATCATATGATAAGGTGATGGATTAAAACCTACTAATTTTATAAAATTAGAGGCTAAATGTTGGTTTTGCCTCCAGGTTGGATGGAGTAGCTCAGTCAAAAAGCGTTAGGAGGAGAGACAGGATAATGACTTGCCTACATTTGTGGTTCACAGGCAACTCCACCTCAGAATCATATGGCATTTGTTTTAGAGATTTTTAGCTTGTGCGTTTAGCACAGAAGTTGAAGAATATTTTTTTTATATTATAAATAAATATAAAAATTAATATTAATTTTAATATTATTATTAAATAAAAAATTATTTAAATAATTAATAAATTAAAAATTA